GACTTCAACTCGAAGATGACTTGAGACTGAAGCTGACCAAAAAGCAACCAGATTTTACAAAGTTGTGCAAAGAAAATCGTGCACATTTGTCACATTAAAATTAAATAACCGTATGTTATTTTCATTATTATTAGAATTGTATTTTAAAGGTAATAAATGTAAAAAAAAACTTATTCTATTTATCACTTGCTGTCTAACCACAGCTTCGCTTGCATTATATCGAATTTTCTCGTGGGAGTAAAGGTGCGACTATGCAGACGCGAGCGAGCGAGAATATATGGAGAGAAGAGACGAGACGCGATAAATATCAAAACCTGTCAGATATGTGCGAGAACCAGAAATTCGTTCTCGCTAGCGTTATTTCTCGCTTCTCGTTTGTGCATGGTTTTCCTTTGCGAAAACTAAATCGCTCGCTCTAAATTCGCGTCTGCATAGTCGCACCCTAAGGTATTTTCTCGCAGTAAAATGTAGCCTATGTCCATCTCCAACGTGTAAGCTATCTCTGTGCCAAATTTTATTAAAACCTGTTCAGCGGTTTAGACGTGAAAAGGTGACAGACAGACGGGCAGAATTACCTTCGAATTTATAATAATAGTATGGATTAATATGAATTTCTGCTATAAGGGATACGCGAGTTTGAGCTCTTTCTTGAAGTGGTAAGCAGAATAAACTAATTGGGAACCACTGGCTTAGATATACAGTGGGTCAGTTAAGGTATTCTCCTGAATTCATTGGGAGGATTTTTACGCTCACTGTATTTATTATCCAAGCTCGAGGGTGCGGCTGTGGTCCAAATTGGCAGGCAACAGTCGATTATCGATAAAAAATTTGCAAAGTAAATGGATCTTAGAACAATTTTTCAAGAAATAGTCTTGCAAAAGCGCCATAAAATATCACGACGGATGCTAGAGATTTAAAAGTTTTATCGACGTGCCCTCTAAAGTTAGTTTACTATCAAAAAAACGATGTCAAGATGATTTAAAGGGACTCTCCTATTTAATGGGTTTATTGTCAATGAGGAAGGGTGGCAAATCAGAGTTACGATTTAAAGAAAAAACATTTGTTAGTTTTTGAACATTAATTCTAAGATTAGCAGTTTCGAAAAAGGAATGCAGAAGGTGAAGATCGGACTGTTGGATGTCAGGATCGTGGTTTATTAACTTTGTCGTCGGCATAGATTGAAGACATAGTTAATAAACCATAAAAACGTTCGTTTTCGAATTTAATAGAAACGTAAAAACTAGGAAAATAATTTAAGCAGAATTTAAGATCTAATTGAAAATATTAAGTTAAATAGAATGCAATTGTTTAATAAACACAAATTTACTTGAAACTAAGTCTGCCTTTATAACATATGGAAATAATATTTTCTGAAGAGATATCAAGTAAATGGATTCCATATAACTGTATCACTGCCAAAGATTTCCAATCAGGGTTTTCGTAGTTTTATTCATTATTTCTTTTTTGCGCTTACAGTATTTCTTTACGCGTTTTGGCTATAGGCTCTCATCAGACAAGAATAATTATCACGTTCAACAGCCATCATGCCTAACCCAACAGCCTCGAAATATAATTTACTTTATACTATAATAAATAATATTTTCCTTAAAAATTTACATTGCATATCCTGATATATTTTCAACGTTCAAAGATACAAAAGTTCTACATGTTATTCAGTGGACTCATTTCCACCAAAATCATACTGAAAATTAACAGGCTCAGAGATTGTTAATTCACAGTGGATACATTCTTTTTTAGAATTATTAATTCTTACATAAAGAAAAAAATACAGCAATGAATTGCTTAACCGTCCCAGCAACATTTAAAAGTTTGGTGGCGCCATCTGTTATGATATTTTATTTTAAAAACTTTTCATATTTTTAATTATTATGAAATGGCAAAAAGCTTACTTCTGAAAGTAGGGATGGGTTTTATAGAAAAATTGTAAATGCTAATAACGAGTCATATATGAGATATGACACACGATCCCCTTTATCTCCACCCCTTCCACCAAAATTTAATAGCATCAATCCCCTAATAAACAAACCTCCCTGCAAACTTTCAGAAATTTTCGAAAAAACCACAGGAGTTTTAAGCTTCAAATGGGATAAACAATCGTGTCTCTCCAACATTCATACATAAAGAAAGAAATAATTATAAAAATTCGGGGTTTTTTAAGGGTTGGGATAGAAATTTAAAAGACATTTAACATTTATTCTATTTAAATAAGGAAGTGTAATATAATGTTATCTATAAAATGGTTAATCAAAAATAGAATTCAACAAATACTAAAGCTCAAAATTGTTCCAAATCTCTGCCAAATTCCAAACGCACGAATATGGAATGGAACTTAGAGAGTTGGTCCATTGATCTATGACTTCTCTATTAAAATAGTGTTTTGAGGACTAAAATTTAATATTATTCATTGTAGACTCAAATAATTTTACCAAAAATTATATAAAAATTATAAAAGTAAGACAAGCCTCTTAAAAAACTACAATTTAAATGTAATAAATTATACTATAATTTTTAAACCAAGATGGGGGTGATAATCAATTAAGCACAAAACTTACTATGTTCTTGACATTCTTTAACGGCAGAATTCCAATCTAATTCTTTATCAAAAACTTTATAACAAGAGAAACCTTCTTTCGTTTCTTTCCAATTTTTTGCATGAACTGGACAAGTTCTTTTATCTTCTTGAATGACTGGAAGATCAGCTAGGAAGGAAACGAAATAGTAATAAATTTATACTAAAACATACGCAAAAATTCAAATATAAATATACATACTATCAGTCAATCTGCAAAGTATCCAATTCTTTCCCTCGCATTTAGTAACCTTCCATTTTCCAGTTTTACCATCGATTAATCCGCATTGATTTATGTTATTTAAATTCATAGGTTGATCATCCATCCAATTAGTGAAGTTCAGAGGCCAATTATTGAACCATTTATACTGACTCTGTATTTATTTAAAATAGGAAAATTTATAAGTTTCAATTTTCTAAACTGATTTTAGGAAAATATAACTTGCCTGGTCTCCTGTTAATCCAATCCAAACGTCATTTTCGGATAATCCTAAATAAAAGTTAACGAAAGCATTTTCTTTAGCATCTGCTATGATTGCTAAATGTGGTCCGAATGCTTCACAAAATCTTTCTCCTTTGTTCCATTCCATCTTTTCTTTATGTAAATAATAGCAATTATCTTGATAACTTATCATCTTATATTTATCGTTTTCGCATTTATCCGGTGCAAGAGTCGGAGGCTTGGATATTAAATTATCTTGGAATTTTAAAGATTTAAACATTTAATTTTTGTTTTAGTCAAAAATTACCAATTATTAAAGAATATAATAAATTGATTTTTAATTACCAACATAAGTTCGGCAGATGTAAGGTTTTTCTTCTGTACAGTTAACAGCAATTAAACTACCTAATTTGTAATCATCAGATGACATTTGGAAACATAAATTATTCTAAAATACAAATAAAATTTAATATACAAATGATTAAATCTAAAGTTTTTAAATTAGTTTTATAAAATTACCGTATTTTGATCTAAATCGCTTGAAACAAATTTAAATCGGTCGTAATCAAATGGAGTATTATCCGACCATATTTTTTGTTTACTATTTTTCAAAAATGTACCACCAATCCATGTATCGTTTTGTAGGAAACTAGCCAATAGCACTAAAGAAGAATTTTCAAATAAATCAAAAATGTAAAATAATTTACTTAATTTTAAATATTTCATACTAACTATGCTGACGAAAATCATGAATTGATGCTAAATCGTAAGCTTTCCCCCGTGATTTACAATTTAATTTAGCATTTTTCCAATCTAATGGTCCGTTAAAGAGTTTATAACAGAATGGGTCTGTATAAAATAATAATAAATGTATTTATATTTTCATAATTTTTATAATATGATATCAAATGTTAGGAAATAGACATTATTATTAAACCTACTTAGCTGATACCAATCAGAAGGACAGTTTCCAGATGGTAAAACTGGAAAAGGGCGAATTTCACCTATGGGTTTCTTGCAAATAAACATCATTTTTTCTTCACAATGTGCATTGTTCCAATTATAAGAGCCTATAAGAATATTTGATTAAATAAGTTTACAACAAGTGGTTAAATATTATGAAAATTGAATTAATTTTATGTAATTTAACAAAGAGTAAAATACTGTATTCTGTATATTTATACAGTATATATTTTAAATTAAAATCTGAGTAAACTTACTTATTATATTATCAATGTATATACACTTTTTTTCTGTAGCATCAATATTTTTCGGATCTTCTTTTAAATTATGAAATCTCCTATCAGTTTTATCCAACCAGATAAAATTTACGTCGGGATTTAATGAATTCAAACCTATCCAGTACTTTCCTTCATCGATCACCTTTNGTTCTATATATATATATATATATATATAATATTTAAAAATATTCTTTACTTCTAAAGGAAATGAGCATGTAAAAGCATTGATAAATAGTGTGACATTGGTATTTACTTTCTTGAAAATGGTATTATTTTTATTTTACGGAATTACAAGTTTTATAATAAACTATTGAAAATATTATTATAAATATATACTTACATTTTTTATCTCTTCGTCTTCTTTATGTGAACTGATAGTGGCAAGTAGAGCTGATTTTTTTTCACAAAAATCTTTCGCTTCATACCAAGTTAATTTAGAGTTGTAGATGGGGACACAAATGTTATCAAAGCATTTCAACTCTTCTTCGTTTTTTAAATCAAGTTTTGACTCAACTAATAAAAATAATGCTGGAAAATGATTAAATTTTGATTAAAAAACTTTTGATTAAATACTATCTATTTCTATATGTTAAAGCAATAACTAAGTTTGGTTAGTTATCAACTGAATTAATAGACTTTTCTGATACAGAAATGTGTTGTGTTTATGAATAGATTTACAAAAATTATTTAAAATAAAAGTTTTCTTGTGTGGGAAATATCAATTTGTCAATCAAAAATTTTAATTTTGAATTTTTTCTGATTGAAAGCATTCGCGAAATCTGTAGCATTATTTATTTTTTATGTCATATTTTAAATGTGAGAAAAATGTTATGAAACAAAAATTTAATCATCACGGTCTTAAAATATGTTAATATTAACCTAAGTATACGGCATTGCCCACAGATCTGTAATTAGATAAAATTTTGTTATTGTTAGAAAATGGCGTACTGTACTGTACAGTAAGTGCATCCAGTGGTGACATCTTAACGAATATAGCAATTCCCATTAATCTCGTTTTGTTATAAAGTTGTTGAGAAAAGATACAAACACATCTGTAATCAATTACAATTATCGTTGTTGAATTTTCTTTATAAACAGTAAAATTGATTCTATGAAGTGTAAAATAAATGCTGCAGGTTGTCAAACACTATCCAATTAGAATAATATTAACCGAATTTTATCAATTAACCTACAAAGAAATTAGTTTCGTCATAACTTACGTCGTTTTCGCTTAACGTCAGTTTCCAAAAACCAATCAATAACGATATGTGAGGATTAAATAATTAATTGATTTTTTGCCGCTAATGGCACAAAATAGAACTTGAAAAAAAACAACAAACCAGAATTTTTAGAGAGGTTGAGGCAGACGTTTTAAACGTGTAAACGTGTAGGACAGACATTCAATGCCGCTTTCCCGTAGGCCTAGAAGTTTGACGATGGTGTTTGGAATGTCGAGCGTGATTCCACCGACTATCCAAACACCATTGTCAAACTTTTAGGCTTACGGGAAAGCGGCGCCGAACGTCCGACCTACACGTTTACACGTTTAAAACGTCTGCCTCAACCTCTCTTTTAAATTCGATAAATTTGTGACGACGAGAGGTCATAAAGCTGACTTCTCGTGGTCAAAGCCGAAATGATTTGTGGATTAAACAGAATGACATAAAAAATANGACTTAATACAGAATGACTAAATTTTTTCATGCAGATACAAGTAATGATTAAAATACTTTTTAAATTTTACGCTTTATGATGGAATTTTTTGAGATTTTTAGTACTTTTTGCTTATTTAAAGGTTCCTCTAGCAATAAATTTATAGCGATCTTCCATACATAACGTATGTATATATAGAAGATCGCTGTAGTTTCCAATAATATATAAATATTATAATTTCCAGTAATATATAATATATACATATTATTGGAAATTCAATAATAAATATGTATGGAAGATTGCTATAAATTATGGGTTTCCATTACAGAAATCCATTACAGAAGCAAGCATCATGGTGAAATCTATTTGATATGTTACCTCTCACCATAATAACATTTGAAACTTCGTATTATATTGTTATCATCAACATCGTACCTAATAAAATTTTATTAATTAAATTATGAATCAATGATATATTTAAAATATAGTAATTATATTACATATAGTATTCACGTAATTACATAAAATTTCATTATAAATTTGCTCTTCTTAATTTCAACAAAAAATATATAAGTTGATACATATTGGAATTTAACATTTCAATCTGCAAATCCTTCGTTGCTTATTCCTCTCTGAAACAAAATAAGCTTTATCAGTAAAACGCCATAGTTTCTGATTTTTCAACTCACCTAAATTACCATTTGAATAATTTGAGCAGACTTTTTCTCCAATTTCTTCTTTGCCCTACAAAATTTAATGTTTTAATTCATCATTGAGTAACTTTAAATGAAAATTATTAAGTGTAGCAATAAATAAGAGATAGACCATTTGTTTTTATTAGCGTAAAGTACGCTGCAAATAACTTAGAGATGCAAAAATTTGAGTTTATCTCATTTTAAGCTTTAGATCATATATTTAGTGTAATTTTAATGTTTAATTTACTAATTTATTTTAAATCGTTATTCAAAATTCACTTGAAAGTAGAAAATTATTATGAAGTTACCTCGTACATAACACATAGGCAATGATAAATGTCAATACCAGAGCACCACTGAGAGTTGATACGCTTATAATTAAATTATTTTTCAAACCTATATAAAAATTTTAAAATATATATATATATATGTTAATTTATTATATTTAGAATTTGTATTTTTATATTCAAAACATGAAAAATAAATACGTTTAAAATTTGTATCTTCCTCGTCGCATAAAATTCCTGTATATCCGGCATCACATCTGTAAACATGTAATTTGTTATTATATTAATTTGTGATAAATATTCATAAGAAAAGAGAATATAACCGATTATGTTCTCCATTTTACTTTTAAAATTTATAACTTACTTGCATTTAAATTCACCGGGTATTTTTATACATTTCCCGTGTTCACAAGGATTAGGATCACATACAGCTGAAATATATTATATAAAAAATATTATTTGAAAATAAATACAGCATTTTATAGGAAATACAAAAAGTTTGCTTACGAATACATTCTTCTTGCACATGTTCATGCTGAAGTTTTATTCTATATCCTTCTATACATTGGCATTGGTAACTTCCTATAGTATTTATACAATTACTGTTTTTTGGGCATGGATTTCTATTGCTGCATTCGTCTATATCTTTAGATTAAAATTTTAAAATTATAAACACGTATATATTATAATATAAAATAAATAAATATTAATCATTACATAAATATATTATAGGTGTACAGTACAGTCGATCCTTTAATAATGGTTGCTTCCAAACAACGGCCATATTTATGTTATGTGGCCGTTTTTCGGATGTTTAACAGTATACATACTGTATTCTATATTATTTATAGAATATTTCGAACTAAAAGAATAAATATCACAAAACAGCAATTATCTGATCATTCAAAAGATTTCAATATTCTTCTGTGTTTTTCAGAATATATAAAATTTAAGCAGTTAAAAATACCTATTAATTTGAATTAATAATAAATAATTTTTAATTTGATAAATAACCGAAACATATATCAGTAATTCTGTTCGTGACTACCGAATTTCGCAATGAAAAAAGTATGATCAATTTATTAAATAGATGTTTTGATTGAATTTGATAAATTCTACATATTCGTGTAATTTACGATATTTTATATTCCTATTAATTTATGGAACCAATAATTTCTTATATGGATGAATAGAATTTGTGCGAAATTTTTCATAAATATTAAAAATAAGTTTTTAATTGTCGAATTTAAAGTGAAACTTTTGAACACAATTAGGTGCTTCCAGTCAACAAAATCAATCAATTAATTAATTGTTAAATATAGGGGAGATCGGGGCAAGATCGGCATGTTAAGCTTTACTTAAATTTTGTGTAATAAATACTGCTGTAAACTGAAAAAAAGCTTTGCATATTGTCTATTGGAATGTTACCTTACTATAGAACTGGTTAAAATCAGTTTGGAAATAAAAATAATTAAAATAATTACAACTTTACAAGAAGAGAGAAATTGACGAAGTTGCCCCGGGTATAGGGGCAAGATCGGCAACTTCTCTCTTTTTGTAAAGTTGTAATTATTTTAATTATTTTTATTAAAGTTGCCCCTGGTATAGGGGCAACAGTAATGGGGCAAGATAGGCACGTATATAAAATTATGTTATTAACAATGTATAAGTTGGAATTCACTATTAAAACAAAGAAATACAAATCCAACACCCATTTAATATTATTACAACGAAATGCAAGTTCAAAGACATATATACATGAATAACAAATGCAAACATGTTTTCATTTATCATCTGTTTGATTTTTATCCTTTGCTTCTAATGTGGCTTTATGTTGCCGATCTTACCCCGCTAGTCATGATTTCGAAACATTAAGTACAACCCTGAGAACAGAATGCCAAGCCACGATCTGGCCACGTGAATAAGTTGAAGTTACATCCTTCTAACAGGAAAAGTAACTTTCGTTATCATGGAATTATAACAAAACCTGCCAATTCAATATAAAGGAAAAAAAATATTATATGGAATTGAACGAAAATGAAAATTTGCTTGATAATTCAACTACGCTTGTTAGAGAACAATAAAAACACTACACTCAACAAGCCACCAATAAAACTCAACTGCCTAACCTATAACCAAAGTCTCCTTTTAATTTGTTTTTTAAAAAAAGCGCTTGACAAACTTGCCCCGCATGCCGAAGTTGTCCCGATCTCCCCTACTATTTGATCATTTTAATAATTTGCTTTATTTAATATTAATAGTAAAGAAAAGGGTGGTATTATGGAACCCCTCCATTTCAAACTGATAATACAGTAAAGACGAACTGTAGCGGATTGTGGCTGAACTGCACTAGGCAGACATCCATAGCAAGGGAATTGTCCGTAATGAATTAGCATATTTGTGTTTTTCGAAATTCGAAAGTTTTAAATGCTAAGTGAATTTAATTATTTTTAAAATATAAATCGTGTAGTTGTAGGTTCACTGGTGCATGTATTTCGTTCCAGAGACTTAGGGGTACATATTAATCTGTGTGATGTTCACGTTTTTTAAATTTTGGTCTTGACAGACATAAGTTAATTCAAGATGGCTATGCGTGAAATACGGACCCCATTGGCGCTTTTACAGTAATATGGAACTCAACTCCTCCGAACTCTCTCTTTGCAAGCAGACATTCGTCCGGAGCAATTTGTGAAAAGGACACTAGGTAGAAAGCCAATTCTTCCTGAGAATATCGAAAAAGAGCTGCTGGAATATATATTGTTGGTGGAGGGCATATTTTTCTATTATAAAAGCATTTTTTCGATAAAATACATTGGAGTAAATAATCTTGTAATTATTTAACATTCTTTGTACTTTCCTATTTGTTTTTGGATACATTAAAGCATTTTTTGAAAACATATATTAAGGTTCCATATTACCACCCGGTTTTCCCTAAGCCTACTTTCTGACATTTTGTACAGAAGCCTTCAAAAACCATACTTATAGTTACACTAGCGAAAAATCCAATTAGGAACATTTAGTTTAATAGTTACCAGTACTTTTCGCACAAAAAATATAGGTGTAATTATGATTTTTTGTTTACAATTCACTATGATGTAATTGGGGTTCCATAATACCATCTTCTCTTCTATAAGTAGCAAAGTAAGAATAAAAATATGGACCGTGCAAATACACTGGAGGTTCGATATAAAGCGCTTCGATTAGCCTGTGGATCTCGATATATCGTCCAGCCTCTTCGGATTCCGCTGCTTTTGTTTCGCCTTATTATAGGCTAATTAGTTTAAATTGACAATTAGCAGCACAGTTCAATTCAATTGCTCAATTTGCTATATTTTGCCTGTAGTGCCTGTACTTTGTACTCGCCATTGTGAAAACACAACTTTGATATATCGAAGGAAAAAAGTTGGAACAAAATAGACAGTAGAAGATTGTCTGAGTAGATTGATAAACACTGGCCGAAAAGATTTCTCCTTAAAATACATTACGGGTAGAATTTTTTGGACCTCAACAACCGTGTTATATCGAATCACCACTGCGTACCTGTAAAGCAACCGAATTTTAACTTTCAGTCTTTTTATCATAATTTGGAACAATTTGCTTACTTAAATATATTTATCCATTAATTTTATGTGGCATTAAGATATTTTTCCATATCTTAATTCTGTAATTAGGGAAAAATTGGTTACGAAACAGTGAAGTCTTAATAATGGACTCAATGGATAATAATGTAATATTTTAAAACCTGAGTCTTCGATTTTTGTCACTCTGATTTTTAACATTAGACTGATAAGTAAATTTTATTTTTAATTTTAGAAGAATCAGTATTAAGGTAACAGGCAAATTAAAACATTTATATTCAGCTATCTCATGGTCATAGAAATGCTTTTATGAAAAGTTGTATTTATTTTTCGGTTATTTATTTATATACATATATAAACTCTGGAACTAGCAGACAATGAACATTTTGAATGAAGCAGTTATCTTTAAATGAATTTTTTAAAGAGAATTATAAACATATTTGTAGTATTATTCAAAAAACACTAATTCACCTCTATAAAAAAAAGTCTTCTATAAGAGTAAATTAGTGTTTTTGAAAATACAATGAACTTGAGAACATTTCTTCCATTAAAAAATAATAGAATAAAAGCAATTACAAAACATGAAGATATTTCCTAGGGAAAGAATTTTTAAACTTTGTTCAAGAAATCCAAACAAATCATAGTTTTGTATCTATTTATAAATTAATATGACTTAAAAGAATAAACCGATTCGTTGTATTTTTGCCGTTTACTGATTCGTCATTTATAAAGTTTACTAAAGAAGCGCATTTTTTACAATATTCTACAAGATAAAATAAGAATCAATGTAAATAAATTTGGTTGATTGATTAAATCACCATCACCTCTTTCTTATATGTCTAAATACTATATACAGTACAATATACGCCTATATATATGTATTTCGTCTGTATATACTGTATACTGTATATACAGACTATAGATGAATCAATAATCCAGTCATAATATTTTCAAAATTTAATAATAATTATTATGTAAACATTTAATAACATTTTATATAAGTGCTAATAAATCAATCATTCGAACAAAACAAGAAATAAATAAAAATCGTGCATTACGTTTCATTACATTTTCTTTCATCCTATGCCGTTATTAAATATTTCCTATATTTTAATTTTCTGTTATAAAAATTATATCGTCTTTTGTTTTTGACATTATTTATTTTCCAAAATCTAAATTAATAATAAAACCCAAATTTGTTTATCGGTCAGAATTATATATATATTTTAAATAGAGATGGCGCCACATACCTTTACACTGTTCGACAGCAACAGACATTGAATTATCCGGATAATATATGTTATATACTTCATAACCGGTCTGGCATTTACATGTAAATCCTACTTCGGGGATGACCTTATTCCGACAATAAGTTTGTTCCGAGCAATAATAATTAGAAACGTCTCTGCAGAAGTCGACAGGCTTGAAAACAACTTAAAAAATAAACATTTTGTAAATTATTATTATTAATAATATTCCTATAATTACACAGTATTAAACTAAATAAAGGAAATTTTACTCGTTTCTAGTTTATATCTATTAATTAATAGTCGTGGTGGAAGTATACAATATTCAGTATCATCTATACATATCATGTTATTTTTTATCAAATTTATTTGCCTTTCCGCTTCTTCGTTAAAAAATAAATTAACTTTGCATATAAAATCCGCCTTTTCTCTATAAAAAAATTACAAAAAGATTAATAAAAATTTTTTAATATAAAATAATTTTAATTTAATTTTAATTTTTTTCTCACTCTAAACATTCCAAAATGGCCGAAGCACGGTAATCGACTTTCACTGCTGATTTCTCAAAAGTCTGGATCATCTTCGGATTAAAATGCATCATTTTATATAAATGAATAAATAGTAAATGTATATAAATTAAGAAAACCTTACAGATTCATGAATTATATTCTCTAAATATGACAAAGAAGAATGTTTTATCAAGAACTTTTTGGCGACAGCAAGAATTCCGGAATAAGTAAATAATGCTAAAAATAGATAAATTATAATATTTGCATAATCTTCAATAAAATATATTTTAATATAAATAAAAGACAAATAATATTTGCTCACATATGGAGCACTTTCCATTGAAGGCTAATTAGTTTAAATTGACAATTAGCAGCACAGTTCAATTCAATTGCTCAATTTGCTATATTTTGCCNGTAACTAGGCAGGTGCAACAGGTGCATTCGCACAGGGCCCATTTGGAAGAGGGTCCCAAAATGCACGTGTTTGTTTTATTATTTTCCCAAACCTAATTAATTAAGGGGCCTAAATGCAAGTTCTTGCACAGGGCACAGGAATGGCTAGTTACGGCACTGGTTACAATTGTTTTTTTCGTTCTGATTTAATTTATGAAAGATAATTCGTAACACCGATAATAGGAAAACATTACCAAATTATCGAGAAACATCTATTAACCAGAAAGTTAATAAAAGAAGAAAATGTTTTATCAGTTATATTCATATATATATTGGACGTAAAAATTAGAAAAAACTTTAATAACAATATTCCGTTTTTAGTTGTGTTCTCGGAGTTTCGTACAGTACAGTACAGTACCTATTAATCAGTCAATTAATTCTGGTGAAACTTTAATTAAATTATTTACAAAATATTGAAAACTTTACTGCGAAATAATTTATAGTCACAACTGAATCAATGTCAGATATTCTCTTAAATTGCTAGTATGTTAATTAACTAGTATTGTTAACCATGCAGAAAATTTATCCGATTGATAATTAAGTTAGATAATTTATATAATTAAAACTATAAACAAATTTATAATAATTATATTAATACGAGAAACAGACTCACATGTTAATAATGCTAGTCTTGTATTAAAGTTCATTTTAACAATTATCTGTTTCCTTTAATTGTCCTTATTAAATTCTTTACCAAAGTAGATTAATTCACATTATTCGAATTATCGAAACAGTTCCACCCCTGTTAACTGAATGATATCATTTTATCATTAATAGAGTATTCACGATACATCAATGATGTTTAACTTGGCTGATAGATAACTTCTATCGCTATTCAAATTGAACAATGTGATTAAAATGCTATCTATCGTCAAAAGAAAGCATTAATTTTATTATAAGAATTATATAATAATTTATCTATTTGAATATATTAAACGAAAAATTTCAATGAAAGTTGATAGAGATAATTTATTGAAAAGTATTCGACTTAATACAGAATGACTAAATTTTTTCATGCAGATACAAGTAATGATTAAAATACTTTTTAAATTTTACGCTTTATGATGGAATTTTTTGAGATTTTTAGTACTTTTTGCTTATTTAAAGGTTCCTCTAGCAATAAATTTATAGCGATCTTCCATACATAACGTATGTATATATAGAAGATCGCTGTAGTTTCCAATAATATATAAATATTATAATTTCCAGTAATATATAATATATACATATTATTGGAAATTCAATAATAAATATGTATGGAAGATTGCTATAAATTATGGGTTTCCATTACAGAAATCCATTACAGAAGCAAGCATCATGGTGAAATCTATTTGATATGTTACCTCTCACCATAATAACATTTGAAACTTCGTATTATATTGTTATCATCAACATCGTACCTAATAAAATTTTATTAATTAAATTATGAATCAATGATATATTTAAAATATAGTAATTATATTACATATAGTATTCACGTAATTACATAAAATTTCATTATTTCATTGAATTAGTAAAGATTCAAATGTAAAAATCGCATTTTATAAACTAGAATAGTTATATATTCAATATTTAAAAAAATGAGATAATTAAAATGTAAACTGTCAATTGTAGATTTTAGCTTTTATATATATAAATATCAAAATAGGTTTACTTGTACAAATTCCATTTTCGTTTTCTTCAGTGCCAGGAGGACAAAAACATCTATAAAATTTGTCTCTAACTTCACATTTCGCATTGTTCTTTTTGCAGTATAAATATCCTTCTTCGTTTTCTTTACACCAATTTCTTACTATAATTAATAAAATTATATTGCGTATTTCTATATTTTAAAATACTTATTAATAGGTTAAAACTTACAAGCGCAAGTTACCCCATCTTCAGAAAGTTTGTATTCTCCTTCGCATAAACATTTGTATATATTTTTCGCATCCTTAACGCATTTCCCTGATGGGCAAAGATTCTTTGCTACACTACCGTTATTGAAGGAACAGTAATCTGCACCGAGCAAAAACAATCATTTAAGGAAAATAACAATCCTTCAAAGTTTCCAAATAATCATTCTCACTACCGGAAAACTTTATAAATGTGCTGAAAATCGACCTACCGATGCATTTTCCGTCTTCATAAACATAACCATTTTTACATATACAAGAGGTAGTATTTGTAGAAAGATTCATAACACAGATACCGTTTTCATATATTTTAGTATCGTTGTTCAGTATCCATCTGTCTGAAATAGCTAGTAGCAACATTTATTCCGTATAGTCTATATAATATATAATAACTATTAATATATTCATGCATCATTATCAGTACTCACCACATGTTGAATTGTTTACTAAATCAAACCCATTACCACAGGAACATTGGTAATGATCATTGATTACTAAACATTGTTGTTCGCATTGATTGAATGATGGAAAATTACACATATTATCTAAAATTAAGTAATTTATTGTATAGCGATTACAATTATCTATTTTAATTAAAGTTAAGATTTCTGTTTCGACTTACTTTCACACTTTTTATTTCTATAAACAAAACCAGAATCGCAATAACATTTATACTCTTCTGGTCGATCTTCGTCTCCAGGGAGGCATTTTGCTTCACCGCAAACCTTTCTAAGGCAATAATTAATAGCTAGAATAATAATTTTTAAATGAGAATATCGTAAAATAACTAATTTCATAATAATCTAAATGAAAGTGTCTTTAATTTAGCGTATTTTCTTGACCTATTTTAGTTGATAACCCATTTTAGTAAACTGAGGACTATAACATTAATTTATTTAAGCATATAACATAAAAGAATATTAATATATAATAATAATATATTTAAGAATATAAATATTCTTAATTTATTTAAGAATGTAGAACTGCGATCCACTTGTATTCTTGAATGTTCAAATATTTACATAGGTTTATAAATGATGATATAATTTTATAAATCATTTATAATAAGCTAAATTAAGATATTATTAATATTTGCAAACTAATTTAATATCTTAAATTTTCTCATATTTATAAACATAACTTGATCAATTATCAAATTTCCCTCAGTTAAATTCTCTCATTCAGAAGGAAGTGTAGTTTAAAGTTTCATATTAAAACTTATAAATGAATTTAAAACTAATTGTTCATTATGTTTACAAGTTATTTACTTTATAAACAATTAAATTATTTTAATTAGGCTTACTTACGCTTACAAAATAACCTATTTTCTATCATTTCTGATTCGTAATGTTCTTTACAGAAACACGAATTATTTTTACATATTGCATGCGATCCACATTCGTTTAATTCGCATAGATCTAAATCTATAGAGAAAAAATATATTATTACGTTTGTGTCGATCATAAATAAGATATATAATTTAATAAATCTCAAGGCCTACCTGTACAACCCTCATCTAAGTTAAAATATTGTAATTTTTCATGGCAAGCGCAGGTAAAGGTGTCCGCATCTATCACATTCCTACACGATGCATTTCTTTCTCGACAAAAGTCATAACCGCTGATATTTTGATAGTTTATAGAACACCAATCAATTAATTCACACGTTATCCCGATATATCCAAAATCGCATTGGCATTCAAAGTTCGTTTCATTATTCACGATGCATTTTCCGTTTTGACAGGGATCGAGATGGCAAGGATCATTTACTATTACGTGAAAAATAAATATATACTGTTTATCACTTTATTCATTATTTATATCAATTTGTTTTTTTAAGATCTAAGTTAGTTTTATTTTTACATCTTATGCAGTTTGCGTACCATCGAGCCTCACAGGGCGCTTGACTCGATAGGATCAAAGAACAAAAAAAAAATGAATGCTTTTCAACTTAATAATATATTTAGCTTATAACGTGCCTTTAGCTTTACTCCTTTACCCGCAATAAAAATTTTAATAGAAAATAGGCAAATATAAAATTTTCACTTATACACATTAACAATTATACAGTAATTCGTTAGTTAGACTGAAACGTTCACAGTCTATTCGTAATGTTAAATACATTTTATAATAAATATCGCCTTTAAAATTTGTTTTTTCTCCCTGTTATAATTGTAAATTGTGTATTTTAAACTTTCCGGATTTAAAGTAGGCATATGTCGATGATGGATCGAAATACTCAATCGGGTTCTCATTTTTTAAACGTATTTCAATGGCGTTTATATAATTTAATGACAGAAATATTTATTTTCTATTGATTCTAACTTTTCTTATACAAACATTAATAAAGATCAGTGGATAAAAGAGAAAATGAGAAAAGAAAACGAGGCTTAATATAAGAATAAATAAAGAAGCGTGATAAAATTGAATAAAACATTGAATTCTTTTAAATAGAATTAAAATGTTGACCCGTGGAAAAATATTCCAGTTTAATTCGCCGAAATAAATTATATAAATATCATTTATGTTAGACCTTCTAGTGATATTTACCATTATTGTCATTGAAATTTGTAAAAAAAGGATTCGCAATTTACTTGTAAAATTTGGCTTCTTATCATGGCATTGAAGCAAGAGAGAACTGTTAAATTAGACTGTGTCATTTTTAATTTATAACTTTTTAATTATATGAAGTAATTTAATTTAAAATAATGAAACTTACTAAACGAATGAAACGTAAACTTTTACTAACAATTTAAATTTCAAAAGATAAATACGTTTTAATTTAGATTCGGTATATGAAAATTTTATTTTTATTTCTCTGACGTATAAAATTGTAAACTTTCACAATATACCACTTTAAATCATGTAGGTATTTTATTAAGGGGGTAGTTTATTTAGAACTAACATATATACATGTTTTTTTTTAAATATAGGACAGATATTTTCAACTTTTATGATTATCTCTTATCTCGGACGAATATATTTTATAACATGCTATAAATCATCATGTTATAGCCTTACACTTGAGAGATTAGTTGCATATTAGTTAATGACCATGAAAAGCATGAAAATTGTATCGAATATTTAAAAAAAAATATTGCGATACATTGTCATTGATCACGTGTCAAAATTTAGCATAAAATTTCATTATTTCATTGAATTAGTAAAGATTCAAATGTAAAAATCGCATTTTATAAACTAGAATAGTTTTCTTCTAATCTATATAATATGTTAATTAACGATTTTGTGTAATGTGCAAGTTTTTTGACCGTTAAATTATTAAAGTATCATTAGCAATTTATTTAACTCGTGTGCAGCAATTATTGGTTTACAAGAATCTTATTCAATAATTGCAACAAAATGGTTAAAAGAGAAAAATCGAAGCGATTAAATTACCTGATAATTGAGTAAGATGCAGTTGAGTATCTTCACCATTCACAGTTCCTTTAATCGAGATCTTGGATCAAGATAAACAAAAGTATTAAAATCTAGCTGCAATTTTAATGTTTATCTGCTCTTTAATTACTTTATAAAATTTATGTTTACATGCATTCCATCCGAAAGATTATTAAATAAAATTTATTTAATATTTGTATCTAGAATAAGAAATTTGTTATACTCTATCATTAAATATTCTTTCATAATTTTCAGATAGTAATCCTATTAAATATGAAAGTACTTAATTAATTTGTTTAATATGCAAAGCGAAACACGCAATATATTCTTTTCATCTAGATACAAATCATCTTTAGTATTAAAATAGGGCGCATTCAACTTACGTAAAAATCTTTTTCAATTGAAAAGGGGATAGTCAAAATTTCCCATTCAGAATTAACTACAATCAGTCTTTTCAATATGCGTTTTTGGTTATTTTCCTTCTTCAAATAAATTGCTATTTTCGTTTCGCCTCTTCCTCTTTTCCTATATTTCATACGGACCTAAAAATTGTTGTTTGTCAGACATTGAATTAGTAATAATTATCATGAATAAGGAAACAATCCGAACTCACAAAATTTTCTTTTTTAGGCACCATCCACCAACTTCTAAACACAGCTTGTTTGTCCTCGCTACATAAGTATAGATACCATCCTTCTGTATAAAAGGTTATATACATTTTTAAATTATTCTGTTCGATATTTTATAGATGGATAAATATCAGTTTACCATCTGAATCGTGATGATGCCATCCTGAGTCCGTCTCCAGCATCCAATTGGCATTAGAAAAATTCAAAGCAGATTGAATTTTATATGCTGAAATAATTTTTTATTAATAACTTGACAAAAATTTCTAACATATCATTTTTAATGTATATTTTTTAAGCGAATTAAATTAAGAAATAAATTTCATACCGTAACTCATAGATGGTAAATATTCTTTTGTGTTACCTATAAATTGAGAATTTATTAATTTAAAAACAATTTGAATATGCAGAATTTAAAAACAAAAATTAAAATATGTCTGTGTAATTACAATGAAGTGATGATAAAGCAATTAACGTGTCTTCGTCAGTATTAGCTTGAATAATTATCTAAAAGAAATATATCGAAATTATAAAAGTATTGCAGTAATTGCAATTAAGAATAATAATAATAATATATTTAGTTATTTACTGAATAATCGAGATAAGGCCTTAAATATGACTCTGTATTTATGAGTAAATTTTTCCATTCTGGTTCGAAAGTTTCATCTTTCCAAATTTCAATAATTTTGCCATTTTCTAGTTGACAAAACAAAACTAATTCAGCTTTCTTATGGCTACATCCATTAATATAATAAGTAATATTTAATTCTTGTTCTTTTTCTCTTTCATTTCTTAAACTTAGAACTTCGTGTCTTCCTCTTGTGTTTGTAAATGCTTCAACTCTCGTATCATTTCCTAAATTTAATCGGTAAAAATTTAAATATTTTAACAACATTTTATATTGTTTTAAGCGATAAAAAGAGCTTAAATGATAAGGAAAATAATTGAATGTTTTCCACTTTTCTCCTAACAATACTATCATAAATATTCTTTACAACCAGAAAGATATTACCGAGAACGAAATAAGGATGATAAATATTCCTCCGGAAGCCTTCATATTTCCACAGACTACAACCGTTGAAGCTCGCACATAAAACTAAAAATATTTTAAAACATTTTGAGGTGATATTAATGCTATTTTATATATATTTAATGATACATAATTTAGTCTATAATGTAAGCATTGCTCCATAGAAAATTTTAATTTAAATAAATCAACTTAAATCAACTTACATTCGGTTATATTTTCGTTGCTGTTGATTTTTACTGGAAAAAAGAATGTAAGAAGAAGAGTTAGAGTTGTTGGTTTTCGTGTCTTAATAAACCGAAACTCATAAGAAAGTAAATGCCTACATACTTTGTAATTCCGTCAAAGCGAACACACCTTCATCATCTAAATGTGCAATAATTAAAATCTGCAATAAGAATGCGAATTAAAAATTTTAATTGAATTATTTAAATAATATAAACTTATTTTAATATACTAAAAGAAGTAAAAAATTAAGTTAATTTGCTTGAAAATTAAAAAAATGAATGACATAAATCAAGGCATGTGGAGAGATGCTTGTGACTAGACTGAAAGAAATCGAGTCAGGTTTGTTAAGAAAAACTTCCAAAATAATACTGCGATAATTAATATAAATCTCATTTATTCTGGCTTATTAAAAGATATTTTTAATTACTTTACTTACTCTTTTTTTAGAATATAGAACTATTAAATATTAAAAGTCAGTCATTACAATTAAATAGAAATATCTACCTGACTAGATGCTGTTAAATTGCTGAATTGTTCTTCATACGAAGACCATTTTTCCTGCTCAACGTTGTGTAACAGATACTCGTCACTTTCAATAACTACACTTACATTCCCGTGTTTTATCCAATAATTGAAACCTAACTGTATTGATGATGCGAATTTTTCCAATACGTAACTGACTGAATATCTTCCATTATTTACCGCATATCTATAACGTACTATAAGGAACATAATTTAATAATATAAATATAATAGATTAATCACTTTTTTCCTCACCGTTTTCACTCGGCAGCTGCGTTGTAACTAATCCAACTTTCTTTTGCCAAGAACACGAGCTCTCATTTGCTAAAAATATGAATAATTTCTATAATAAGATTACTATTTTAGTATGTTTTGACACGGCTAGCTCCGACTCTACTTACTTTCTGAACGACCAAAACAAACTCGACAACTGCGAATTAAAATCAATAAGAACGTAACATAAAGCAGTATTTTCATCTCAACACAGTATTGTTCTTCTAGTCACGGCGTTGAAAATCAACTAATTTTATTAAAAATAAGGATGTATACGACCATAAAACTAGATAAAATAGTCGTTATCTTATCTTATTTGAGAATTATTACATTTCTCTTTAAGCTTAAATAGGATTATGGCGAATAAATTACTAAAACTTTTGTTCTGAACATTAATTTTAAATATTAATACTGTATTTGTAATTATCAAACACAAAGATTAAATCAGTTTATATTATTAAATATATTTATTTTCATTATTTACTTATAAAAATTACAATAGAATTTATAGCGACTATCACAATAAACGTAGGCTTATATTATTCCAAATTGATTCCTATTGACGTCGGAAGAATCTTCGGAATATTCATCTACGAATGCAACATTGGAATAGGTCATAGTTTCTTCATTACTATCTGTTATTATCGGAGTCTCTTTTTTTCGGGTTTTTTTAATACAAATAATGATCAGATAAATCATGCAGATCATCACAGATATACAAACCACAGTAATCACCACTATAATACCGGGGTGAAAACTTTTGTCTGTAAAAAAATTAAGGTTATTTGTCTTATTTTTAAGTGTTTATTATTTAATAATTCAAATTCTTACTGTTGATTTTCTTGTTTTTCGTGTACAATCTCATTTGTTTCGTTTCTCTGATTGTTTCTGAAATAAATACACATTATCAATTTCGTCGATAAAATAAAACTGAAATAGAAAATCTTACCATTTTTTTTCTTTGTGCATATATATCCTCTTTTCAATTTGCAATCTACCATACTCCACGTTTTGCGTTTTCTATGCATTTCCACACAATTATCTCTATAATTATCAGCAGGTTGATTATCATCCCAATAGACAAAATTTACAGGACTGTAATCTGTCCAGGAAAAGCTTCCTTCGGAAATGATTACATTTTAATAATGCGATTTATTATATATTTAAAGAAGAAGAAGTAATAATAAATTACCATCTTGTTTACGAACTAATCCTATCCAATACGAAGTAGAAGTATATTTAATGTATTTTGATACGATATTAATATCTTCTACAGAATGTAAACTTATCAACTCGCTATCTACAAATTAAAAATTATTGTTAAACGCTTCAATCTATTAAAAAATTGTTTTTAATTGTATTTATTTTCTACCTTTGCGCAAACATTCTAGCTTAGCTTCCGATAAAGATACTAAAGCTTTTCCTTCGAAATAATAACATTTTTTCCCAAGATCCATCCATCCATCAGATTTGGAAGAGCATAATCCGAGTCTATCGGAAGGATCACTCGGTAATAAATCTGCAATATTTTAATGCATAATTTTACTAATAAATTTCAGTATTTTATAATTAATTCGAGTGAAAAATAAACTATGATTGATTAGATTTACCTGGCGTTGTTTCGCATACAAAAGGGAAATTTTCCAGACAAGATTTAGTCATCCATTGACCAGATGGGAGCATTATCGAGCATAATCCTTCTTTTCCGGGTTGATCTTTACCCCAATTAGTAAATAAAACCGGCCATCCCGATATCCATTTATATCGAAATCGTTTCTAAATTTAAGAAAAACTATTTACTATTTTGAAAATGTTAATTAAGTAATAAATTAATACAATGCAATTAAATAAAACGAACTATTTCTATTCGTGTATAATAGCCTTTTTATATTTCAAATTTTTAAAAAATATTATTTTAAAAAAAGACACCCGGGACTATTGACATTAAAACGGTCGAGTTTTAAGAGAAAAATCGTCAAATCTAAACAGATGTAACCGACAGACATTTAATATAATGTTTAAACAGTCAAAATTTTTGACATTCCAACAGAAAATTCTTGGTGCACTCTTTTTACTAGGCCTAAAACAATAGCGCAAATGATAAGCTTCGTTTTTATTATCTGTCATATATTTTCTCGTTATCAGTAATAAGTTCTAATTGACTTAACGTTGTATTGATAAATCTATATAACAATATAACAGGAAAATTTCATTTTAAGAAAAATTATTTAAGTTTTACTATAGATTGAGCTAGTAAAATAAAAACTTTTATTAATAAAATAATTATAGATATAAACGTTTTACACTCTTAAACAAAACGAATCTTTGAATACATTACAAAAAAATTATAATTATAATTAAAAGTATAAAATAGTTGAAAGATCTCGGGATTTATGTTTTTATAATGGTTAGTTTGTTTTGATATTTTCAAAATATTTTAAAATTAAATTTATAAATAAATAAACAAAAGTTTCTAAAATATTAGACTTATGCTTAGTTAATATTTTTAACTCAGAATTCATATCGAAATAAAAAAGCCTATTAATATTGGCAGGCTCTTATGTTTTTCGTTCATTGAATAAATAATACGTAAAGATCTGATATTAAGAAATTTCTGCAATTCAAAAAATTGTATGTCCGAATTCAAATAAACGCTTTTATAGAGCCATTTGAGAAAGTTTCGTTTCTGATATAAATAATCTAAATAACATATGCTTTTTACTTACATAATTTTGACGTTTCTCGCCGCTTTAGTCCACGAGATTAAATAAGACTAATTTTATAACCATACCTAGTACTTTAAGCCTAAGAATCACATAAATAGTTATAAATATTTATAAAAGTCAAATTTTTAGTGCCTGGATAATTATTTTTTTTATAACTATCTGTAATTTAGCTAGTTATAAAGCTATGACATCTAGTGTCTAAATTTCCTATTTAGCCTTACTTGTAACATATTACTTGTTTTAATTTGAATAAATTACAGTTAATTATATTTGAAAAATTTGCGCAAAATATTCAAAATTTGATTTGATATTTTGAAAAGTCGAAAAGCCAAAATTTTGTTTTGTTTTGCGCAAAAGAATCAAAAATTTATCAATTATTTTTTTTACCAAAATTTATCAAATATTGCCAATTACTTCTGTTAATGAAACATTCTTCCTAAATTTTATTATTTTTAATTAAAATGTGTCTAGAAAGTCACTGACTTCCTTTAGATAATATGTTTTATTAAAATCCAGTAATACCAACATTCATCCGGTGTTAAGGAAGAGTTTAAGGTATTCTGGATAAACCTCGTAGACCATTCCTCATAGGTTATACCGTATTTGAGTTAACAAAACAACAGATTAATGAAAAATAAGCTTGATTTTTGAAATTATTAATAAAATGTAAAAAATTAGGTTGTTTTAAAATGTTTCTTTCCTAAAATATATAAAATTATGCATTAATTACTCTTACTCAAAATTAATTTACAATCTATAGGTTCTCAAAAGAACAAACGTAATTAATAAACTCAGATGACTTTAAAAAATTGTTTCCCATTAAAACAAAATTTTAAACTAATTCATTTATTTAAATTTGGGATAATTAGAAAATTTTTTGTTTGTAGAAATTTTTAAAAAACGTTCATAATTAAAAACTAATTAGAAATAATAATGATAATAGAATAAGTTAAACGTAACATAAACTTATGAGAAAATGATAATAAGTATGAATTGAATGGCAAAAATTATTGTGTGCTGGTTATTTCGTTTAGGCTTCTTCAATATATTTCTGAATTCCTACAGGATATCAAATTATACACCATGTAAGTTATATTTATTTGAATTTTGTTAATATATGTTAAGCTACAAAAGTTATAACTAAAAAATGTTTCAGTTATTTTACTAAATCTTCGCCTTCGATATATTAACTGAAAGCTAATTGTTTTGATGTTTTATAAATTCAGAATTTGTGAGAAACTTACTTGGAAAAAACCTTCGAATTTTATATCTATCAAACTAATAACCGAATCAAAGTACAGTACAGAACAGTACATTTCAACTCAGGCATTCCTCATTTAAAACAGAAAAAAAAAGTCTCTCGTCACAGAAAGTTGATACAGTCATTTCCTTATCTTTACAAGTTTTCTAGTTTTACATAAAAATATAACTTGTAAATCATTATCATATTGTTTTGTATCATAAGTTACGTGACACAACATAATCTTCGTGATAGACAAGTATATTGAAGTTATTTATTCCACTTACAAACCAAACAATCAAAGAACATAATCTTATATTTTGATATATCTACAGGCTATATTAAAAAACAGCACGAACATCTGATCGAATCAAATTTGAACGATTGAACTAATCGGGTTTTTAAAAATTATTATAACGTTATAATCAATTAATTAATTTCAAATATACGGTAAGTTTATTCATATATAATATGCATAATAAATAATATTNAGTTATATTTATTTGAATTTTGTTAATATATGTTAAGCTACAAAAGTTATAACTAAAAAATGTTTCAGTTATTTTACTAAATCTTCGCCTTCGATATATTAACTGAAAGCTAATTGTTTTGATGTTTTATAAATTCAGAATTTGTGAGAAACTTACTTGGAAAAAACCTTCGAATTTTATATCTATCAAACTAATAACCGAATCAAAGTACAGTACAGAACAGTACATTTCAACTCAGGCATTCCTCATTTAAAACAGAAAAAAAAAGTCTCTCGTCACAGAAAGTTGATACAGTCATTTCCTTATCTTTACAAGTTTTCTAGTTTTACATAAAAATATAACTTGTAAATCATTATCATATTGTTTTGTATCATAAGTTACGTGACACAACATAATCTTCGTGATAGACAAGTATATTGAAGTTATTTATTCCACTTACAAACCAAACAATCAAAGAACATAATCTTATATTTTGATATATCTACAGGCTATATTAAAAAACAGCACGAACATCTGATCGAATCAAAATTGAACGATTGAACTAATCGGGTTTTTAAAAATTATTATAACGTTATAATCAATTAATTAATTTCAAATATACGGTAAGTTTATTCATATATAATATGCATAATAAATAATATTGATGTTTTAAAATCAAATTTAATTTGATAGAACTTAATCTACAAGATAATAACTGTCTGAAGGATAGGTTCTCTATTTTAATAAGTATATTTTATAAATTTCGTGGTTTTGTATTTATAAATTCCAAATTTTCTTCTAAATATAAAATTATTAATAATGGATATTGTTTAATAATAATTCTCAAAAAAGTATTTGAGCTGAGAAACGTTGTATTTTACAAGTTATTTTTAAATAACGTAATTATTAACGTAAACTTAAGATGCAAACATCTTATATTCATAAGCGAAACAGCTTATATAATTTAAATTTTGTCGAGGAAAATTTCTTCTTATTTTCTATTATGTCTTTCTATTTTTATAGCATAACCTAATTTAAATTTAATTAAAATAAAAATTAATTAATAATTACACGAAGATAATAAATTTTCCTTCAAGATGATAATTACATTTAATTCTCTGAAAGTTTCTAGCATTTTCAAATATAGAGAATTTCATTGAAATTTTACCAAATTTTAAAATGCCGAATCAAAAATTCATTTAAAGGAAAATAATTAAATATTACATCGTCAATATTAAATTTATGGGGTGGTTCCTTTTTTAAAACTTTACTAGATCAGATTTTTGAGATAATAATAATAACAATAAGTGTGCCTTGCATCTTTTAAAAGTATACAATATTTAAAGATATAATCCCACTAAAAAAATATTCTAACTTATCCTTCGAGGAAAAACGGGGATAAAATTTAAGACTAGAAATTGAAGAGAATTTTGAATTGATATTCACTATTCATGATATTCTATGAACTGAAATAAAATAAATTTTAATTTAAAAAATACTTTAATACTCTAAACACGAGTTTTTACTTACTTTAAAAATAAGTAAAAACTCGTGTTTAGAATAAGAAAAATAATTTAGAATTTATCAAATTTATTGAATTTTTAAACTTATTTTAACTGATAAACAAACACAATTCTAAATTATAAATTGTTAGAAGTGAAAAGAGTGTAATCATTAATTTGGAATTAAATTAACTGAGTTTTTAACTTATATTAGACATTCAATTCTTCTAATTTTATAAAACAAAAAAATATGATATAGGCCTAAATATTTCAAAAATTGTTTTAATACCGAGCAACTATCGGATGATCGCTCTTCTTTTTAATATTATTAAAACCTTAATTTTATAGTTTGTTTTTAAATTAGTTACCTTAATAAATATAAAATAATCGATTAATATTCATATTATTTTAGAGAAAAATCACCTTTTTTAAATCTATAAAATTGCATATTTTAAATGTAAAAATAAAATAATAAAAAGTTTATAATAGTGATGTAGTCAATAATAGTCAAATGAATATGCTTATTGGTAAATATTTTACGTAATTAACTTGTGATTTTATATATGTATAAAAATTTAAGATAGATAATTACAGTTACGTAAGAATTATATAATTATTTTAATAACTTAGCTAGGCCCCATTATGGGTCTGGCTGAACCCCGCGACGAGCATGGAAAATAAGTAGGACTAATTAATTGCATTTAAATTAATTATNCTTTAGAGAATTGAATCCTATCCAAGCATTCTTTTCAAAGTAGACTAACAGAAATGTTAAGAATTCTAGTAGTGAAAAATATATTTATTAAATAAAAAATATAACTTTTAAAAATATGATAAATATATACAATAAATTACAACCTTGTTCGTTTGAATTTTGTATAGTTGTTAAATGACTTTCTAACGAAGAACATTGTCGATTAGCTTCCATCCAACTAAGACTTTTGTTCTTGCCTTTTACGTACAGGTAGCATTTATTTCCTTTTTCAATTAGTTAACAAATTGAAAACGTTAGAAATAACTATAATAGAAAAATAATCTGCATGAATTTTATTAATAATTTAATGCTCCATTGATGCATGTCCCCGATATTTTGTTTCAAAGTAACAAGTATAACACCTGTGTGTAAATAGTATGGCACCGAGCTATTTAAGTTAAAATATTTAAATAAACAAAAAATCTTAGAAAAGAACGAAAGCATTAAATTTTATTAATAATAATTTGTATAGATTTAAAAATAATTTACCAAAATGTAACCAAACTTCTGGACATTCTTCCTCTTGTAATAACGTCTCCGTCGTAGTAGACAACATGGCATCAAAATTGACAGATTTTTTACAAATAAATCGTTTTTTTATATTGCAGTCATGACTGAACCATTTGCCTTTATAAAATGTTTAAAAAGCTCAGCCTCTGGAACTTTATTAAGATATATATAGGTCTATATATAACTATGGAAACTGCCTACCAGTAAAATTTAAACTGGCACATCTCTCATCTTCACCTTCTGGAAGACCATCTAAAAGAAATTGTATGGGTGAAGAATCCGACCATTGTAAGTATCTTCCATTTTGATAAAGTCCAATCCAAAATAATTCATTGGAATTAGTTTCTCTTATCTGTAATAATAATTTGTAACTTAAATACCGAAAATATAAAAATTGCTTTTATTGTCAAATTCACTTTATAAATCGAAGAAGACTGTAATATATTTTTTTTAAATTTTGACTCTGTTAAATTTGAAATATTTAAGATACGAAAGTGATGAAGGAGAATATATATTTAAGTTACCATTCTGGAAAGAAATTGCAATTCTTCAGTGGAATGGATGGACGAAAGACTTCCATTGTTGTCTTTGCAATACATCAGTGCGCGATGCCAAGTAAAAGCTAGCGATGACTCTATTTTGTAACAATTTCCGTTGAACAGTTTCCACTCCTTGTCGCATATTTCTGATAAAGAAATGTAATGGTTGGTCGAATATACATATTTAATACATTTGCGTGCCTCTTATAATGAAAAACTAATGAATAATGGCTTACTTTTTCCACCTTTACATATAAATCCCTTTGACAATTCGCAGTCTTCATGCAACCATTCTTTAGCTTTCTGACTATAAAAAACGCATAAACTTTTATTTGATCCTTCCGTTCCATTTAATTCTTTGAAGTTTCTTCTCATCCAAATCGTAGCATCGCCCAATTTTTCAGTCCATTTATAACCTGTTAACTAATGACAATTAAAATTCGTGTAAACAAACACTTCAAAGTAAGCAAAATTACGTAAAAATGTCCATATTTTAATGCATAAGTCTATTTCAAAATATAATTAACTACATTAGAAATTCATAATTTGCAATTTTATTTAGAATGTGCAAAAGAATTAACACTTATCATGAATCAAACTTATTTTAAAGATTTTTTTTGTAAACTGAATGAAAACGTTAAAAGAACTATTTGAAATCGTGACTAAGTGAGCATTATATTTTCTGCACTGAAAATCCGCTTTGAGCCACGAATTACTCGAATTTATCATCTTGTAGCATCTATTTTTAAATTTAATCCAATCGCGAGGCTTGTTACATGTTTCTAAACTTTGCAACGTCGTTAATGATGTCATCTGAATCGAACCTAATAAAATCAGTTATATTTAAATAACAATATTGGGAATTGTAAAAAATAGTCTTTCTACCTTATATTTTATAATTAAAACTTTATTAATTTAAATTTACTTATTTTTTTTCTCTTTTCGTATATTATTTAACGATTAATATACGAATAAAACTGTCTTAAAATTTAAAAAATAATAACTAATACAGTAGGCCTTAAAGAATAAATATAAATTTATAAACAGAGATTATTCATTTTTCTAAAATTATTTAAATTAATTTAAATTTACTTATTTTTTTCTCGCAAAAGTAACTTCGATGCGAATTGCAAGAAGCGGGGTTCCATTTTCCAGCAATAAATTCATCTTTTGAATTCGGAGCGAGGATTTCTACGCAGCGTTTCTTTAAAATATATTGTAATAAAATAAAAAGCTTATAAAATTTTAAAGTAACAATTATATACTGAGCCTATATAATATATATCATGATTTTTTTTTATTAATTACGGTTTCTAGATCACTAAGTTTGTCTTTATTCCAGTTTGTATAGTCGATACTCGAGTTATCTGTCCATGTGAATGTTTGATCATTCTTTAGAGAATTGAATCCTATCCAAGCATTCTTTTCAAAGTAGACTAACAGAAATGTTAAGAATTCTAGTAGTGAAAAATATATTTATTAAATAAAAAATATAACTTTTAAAAATATGATAAATATATACAATAAATTACAACCTTGTTCGTTTGAATTTTGTATAGTTGTTAAATGACTTTCTAACGAAGAACATTGTCGATTAGCTTCCATCCAACTAAGACTTTTGTTCTTGCCTTTTACGTACAGGTAGCATTTATTTCCTTTATCAATTAGTTAACAAATTGAAAACGTTAGAAATAACTATAATAGAAAAATAATCTGCATGAATTTTATTAATAATTTAATGCTCCATTGATGCATGTCCCCGATATTTTGTTTCAAAGTAACAAGTATAACACCTGTGTTTAAATAGTATGGCACCGAGCTATTTAAGTTAAAATATTTAAATAAAGAAAAAATCTTATAAAAGAACGAAAGCATTAAATTTTATTAATAATAATTTGTATAGATTTAAAAATAATTTACCAAAATGTAACCAAACTTCTGGACATTCTTCCTCTTGTAATAACGTCTCCGTCGTAGTAGACAACATGGCATCAAAATTGACAGATTTTTTACAAATAAATCGTTTTTTTATATTGCAGTCATGACTGAACCATTTGCCTTTATAAAATGTTTAAAAAGCTCAGCCTCTGGAACTTTATTAAGATATATATAGGTCTATATATAACTATGGAAACTGCCTACCAGTAAAATTTAAACTGGCACATCTCTCATCTTCACCTTCTGGAAGACCATCTAAAAGAAATTGTATGGGTGAAGAATCCGACCATTGTAAGTATCTTCCATTTTGATAAAGTCCAATCCAAAATAATTCATTGGAATTAGTTTCTCTTATCTGTAATAATAATTTGTAACTTAAATACCGAAAATATAAAAATTGCTTTTATTGTCAAATTCACTTTATAAATCGAAGAAGACTGTAATATATTTTTTTAAAATTTTGACTCTGTTAAATTTGAAATATTTAAGATACGAAAGTGATGAAGGAGAATATATATTTAAGTTACCATTCTGGAAAGAAATTGCAATTCTTCAGTGGAATGGATGGACGAAAGACTTCCATTGTTGTCTTTGCAATACATCAGTGCGCGATGCCAAGTAAAAGCTAGCGATGACTCTATTTTGTAACAATTTCCGTTGAACAGTTTCCACTCCTTGTCGCATATTTCTGATAAAGAAATGTAATGGTTGGTCGAATATACATATTTAATACATTTGCGTGCCTCTTATAATGAAAAACTAATGAATAATGGCTTACTTTTTCCACCTTTACATATAAATCCCTTTGACAATTCGCAGTCTTCATGCAACCATTCTTTAGCTTTCTGACTATAAAAAACGCATAAACTTTTATTTGATCCTTCCGTTCCATTTAATTCTTTGAAGTTTCTTCTCATCCAAATCGTAGCATCGCCCAATTTTTCAGTCCATTTATAACCTGTTAACTAATGACAATTAAAATTCGTGTAAACAAACACTTCAAAGTAAGCAAAATTACGTAAAAATGTCCATATTTTAATGCATAAGTCTATTTCAAAATATAATTAACTACATTAGAAATTCATAATTTGCAATTTTATTTAGAATGTGCAAAAGAATTAACACTTATCATGAATCAAACTTATTTTAAAGATTTTTTTTGTTTATGAGTTATTGATATTTTTCAAAGGAAGGAAATTATGTTAATTCAATAATAAACTTTTCCAATTTTGATATATTCTAAACTTTAATATGAAAGTTTTTGATAAAATTTACATAAAATAAAGCTTAATAATCGAATTTATTAAAGTAATTTTTATTTTTTATTTTATAGCATATATCTATTCATTTACTTACGTGAAAATGAATAGTTGAGACCTATCCAATAATCTTGCAACGTTTCAGACATAATACTGTATTTAAAATATTCAATGAAAACTTAATCAAAAAAATATAATTTTTAGAAATTTAAGTAATAAAACAATTTACCTTAATATAAAATTTTCTTCTTCTTTACTTGTATAAGTAATTAAATCTCCTCCAAAATTTTGACAATAGCTTCGAGCTTCGAGCCAATTTCGAGTCTGATTATTGGATATCTATTTTAAGAATATTAAAAATTAAATTATTAAAATATAATATATAGTATATTTTATATTTTAATAACCGGATGAATACTTCTAACAGAAAATTTAAAAATCATAATAGAGAAATGATTATATTTTTGAGTATTTGAACAGAAATTATGAAAAATAATTAATTATACCCAATAGCATTTGTCCGTAGATCCATAAGAAAACCATGAAACCGGACACGAAATACAATCCGATGATTGAATTAAATAAGTTTTAATAGTTTTTTGACAAATGGCGTAGGCAAAACTGTTAGATTTAACCGAAATTTTCAGAAAATTTGACTTATTAAATAATATAGCGGAACAAGTTTCTTCTGTTAAAAAGCAAAAGAAAAAATTAATTAATTTAAATCGATAGAATGCAAGCTATTATTAAAATTGATTTAATTACAAAACATACCCGATAATGTGAAAGAGTCCTTACTTAACTTAAAAGTATTATTTATCCATTTTCCTTCTTTATTCCAATCAAGCCAATACTTTCCTCCGTTATTTTCATAATTAAGAGAAATCAAAGAATAAATAAAGTATTCTTCTTTTCTAAAATTAAAAGGTTAATAGAGCTTAAATAACTACTTAACGTTAATACGTAATTAGCTAAAGAACGTTTTAAATTGAAATTTGTTTTTTAATTAGTTATTCTAAGTGCAATTATTTTAATGGATAAAGTCAGGAAATTTTGAACAATTAAATTTTATTAAAAGGTATATAACCTGTCATAGACGTGAACCAGATGTCCATCTTCGTCGGAGCAATGGTTATTGGCTTCTATGAACTGCTTCATTGTGCGTGTGATCCAATAACAGGTAAGGTTCTCCTTCTAATGAACATGACATTTCGTTGTTTAAAAGAATTTTTATTTTATATTTTCTTAATCTTAATAAACGATTCTTACTTGGATACACGCATCGTAGAACTTATATATCATTTTAGATCCGTCCCGCTGACAAATATATCCGTTTTCTTCGTCGCATGCACGGATTTCCACTCCCTATTATCAAAATAAAATTATTTTTCATTTCTGCATAAATTAATTTTATTAATTATTTAATTACTTACTCTACTATTAATTGCGTAACATGTTTTCCCGTTTGACAGCTTTACAGGAACTGTATTATTGACATTTCCTATCCAATAATTCGAACTTTTATCTGATTAAACATTAAAAATATTATAGTTATACTTAACAGAAATGTGAATTTTGTAAATTTCTTTATATATCTTACTATTTCCTATTAAAATCTTCATAAATTTTGTAATATTTTCGTCTAAACTAACAAGCCTTGAATTCTTTCTCTGACAATTACTTTTTGCATCGTCCCAGTCGGTGGACATTACACTAATAAAGTAGCATTTTTTAAGTGAATTTATCCATATCCACTCGTCCCCGCAAGCTGTTACTATTAAGAAATACAGTTTTAATAACAATTACCTTTTAGAAATTAAACTGTAAAAGTAAAGGAATGAGTATTAAGTGTCTGTGACAGTTTTATTCTAAGTACAGTATTAATATAAAATCTACGCCATTAAAACTGATAAAGTTTGGTAAACTCATGATGTTCTTCGTGTATTAATCGCATAGATTTTATGAATATTATATTAACTGGAACTTACTTGAATGCAGACAGAGATGAAGTAGAAGTAAAACCCACAAAAGACGCATGATATTAAATATAAGTAGATAAAAAATTCACTCAGACTAAGTACTCAGAAACATCACATCCTGTTTATCAAACTTTTACTGCTTCCTTTTGCGGTTATCGATATTAAGCCGAAGAAAATTCTTTTCCTTCCTGACAGCCATTTTCTTAAGTGGTAATTATTTTTAAGTATTCAACTCGTTTATGTATGTAATTTAACGAACGATACGAAAATGATAGATATTTTAATTTTCTTTAGTAATTAAGTATTCTGGTAAATGTCTTCACATTTTCGTTAGGGATTTAATGATGCAACATTAAAGATTTTTACTACAGGAAATTCTGCGTTTACTTCAACAATTAATGAATTATAAGATTTTTGTTTCTTGAAAACACTTTTGATTGAATGGCGCTTTGGAAGTCACAAACACTGAAATTAGCCACGGAAGTCATTCTGTAGAAAATTATTAAAGGCATTGATTTTAATTTGATTCAATTAAGCGTGTTTCAAAAATTTATTTCCGTTATAATTACTCTATAAACGATTTTTGTAGTTTTGAATTCTCCTTAATTAATAGAGTGAAAGTTTTTACCTGTTAAATAACTTTGAATGTAAATAGTTTTGCAGAAATTATTAATAAGAACAGAAAAAAAACAAATGCAATAATTATCGAATATAGCATAGCACATTGATTTGTATCATTTATGTTTTTTCAGATTTTTCATTAATTTCTTTTAATAACTACTGACTTTCGTATTTTATATTTTATTAAAAAAAATCTCTAATTAAAAGTTAATGTTCACAAGCTTCAGACTTAAAGGCCTTATTTACTTTTTGGAAATTAAGATTAAACTGTAAATTAACTATTATTTAAAGTTAGGAACGGGTTAAAAATTCATCGAAAATTTTAGAATTTCAAAGTTTTACTTGTTAATTTTTAATGTTAATGTACTGTACAGTATTTATTTATTTATTTTTTTATTTTGTTGAAAAAATACTGATTTTACCTACGAAAAATTTGGAATATGATAACGATATTTAATATTCTCGGGACTTTTATTTTAAATTTTATTAACTAAAACAATAAAAAATGAGTAAATTTTTATATTGCTTTAGGATTTAGAAAATTTCGGGTGTTTAATGAATTAACGGTTATTTTATTTATACACATAGGCCTATATTCATTTTTTTTCTAATAAAGTAAACCTAACAATTCCTAATAGAAAAAATAAAGAAATATTGTTCAAAAGTTTATTATTTTCGAAATTATATGAAAACACAGTTTCTAATGTCTAAGTCTCCGGTTTAAAGCAATTAAAAGTAAGTCTATGGGACAGAATACGGCAGAGAAAAATTGAGCAGAAACAATTGTTCCGTTTCGTTTTGAAAATTCTATTTGCAAATAGTTGTTGGAAGCTGTTTAAAATAGAAATAAATGCAAGAAAAGATGTTGGAAAGAGGAAAGGCGAGGGAATATTTTCACCTGTCCGAGGAGTAGCTGTCGACTTGGCACCCCCAAGTGTGCGGACATAGTTTTAATTAGCAGATCGCCACTGCGGCAGTTTAAACAGCGACGGTTTTCTTCTCTCAACCTCGAGAAAACAATCAACAATAGAAAAGGAATTAGGTTAAACATAAATCAGTTGAATACGATGGAGCAGTTGCTTTGTTCCCATTGCAGCGCAGGGCCCTCCATACTACCATTTATCAAGGCAGTGAATGATTGGATGACGGCGAACCGTACCGTCCTCTAAGAAGACTCTATTAAACCGCTTGACGTCGAGTTAATGGAATAAAGATCTAATATTTTATGACCATCTCTCTCTCTCTAGCTCGATCTAAAGCCTAATCAGTTGACAAAATACCCGTCATTCTATATAGGACTAAGACTATCAATTTCCCTAAACAATGTTGGCAGACCTTTTATTCTGTCCCACGTTTCTGCAATTTTTTTAACTTTCCTTTCGAACTTAGACTTTGACTCTGCGGAAGAAAATTGAATTTTTTACTTACTCGTTTAAAAAAGAATAATCATGTTTTGAATGAATTAATAGAATTATTTTGATGAATAGAGTTAATTTAAATTTTTGTAAAAACATCTTGGTTTTTTACCACTGCTTTTAAACTGGATAGTAATTGCTTAATTATTTTTAACCCATACAAACTTTTTTACTAATATATTTATTTAATAAATCGTGATATGTGTTATACATACCATAAAACCGCTCATTATAAATTAAAAAACTTTCGTTCGGAAAATTATTTACGTCTAAATTTTCACCTGTCTGTGCTTATGTTCAAATTTATTAATTTTAGACTTAAAAAATGTTGTTTACCCACCAAAATCGTGAATTATAAAAATACTTTTTACATATATTTTTATGTAAGGTCTAAAACGTAGATTGTATATCTAGCCTTATAAAAACTTGTTATGGAGGATATACACTATACACGTTAAATATAGCCTACTGTGTAAAATAAATTACACTAAATATCAAATTGAAATATATTTGAATGAGGCCTAAAGAAAGTATAGATTATAAATCCTCCTATAACTCTATAAGAATTTATAAATCCTATAGACTTATAAATTCTTCTGTATTTTAAGTTTAGGCCTACACTATATTTTGTTTAGACTGATAGGTTATTACGAATATATCTTATTAACTTAATCTTGTTTTAATTAATTTGTGTTAATTGCCATAAAAATTGATAATACAACAGAAAAAAAACAAAAAATTAAATTTTCTTTTAGAGTTTTGTCGAAACCAATTTTTAAATATATTTTTAATTTTTACTTTACGGTTTTATTTCATATTAATACAAATATTTTTTAATAATAAATAATTCTATGGTATTCATTTATATTCATATAGAAAAAAAAGATAAAAGTAAATTATTTTGTTAGGAAATTTTATATTTTAATCTAATTTATAAATTTATGTTTTATCTCACAAAAATGCAATTTATAAATAATTTTTGACATAAAAAGTAATTTCTTTCTATTTAAAGCAATCTACGCCGAAAAATATCAAGCAATACGTCTAAATTTGATGTGTGACTGATGTATGAGATAGCGCTTATAGATTATCACATATTAAAAAGCAATTCAAAGTTTATAAAACATTTTTGTTGGTTCTTTGTATCAGTAAAAGGCTGACAGATAAATTAAAAGAGAATTTTAATTTACTCTTTCGCATCAAATGATGGAATTAATCAGTTCTCTATAAAAAAATCAACTGTCTCTTGAAGATGATCGATGAGCTTAGTTGCTTATTGCAATTTTTCAACTTTATAAACAGGAAACATTTGTTATTTAATTATGTACAAAATATTTTCTTTCGATATACAAATTTGTTGTGATTGAATATTTTTAAAAGTTTATTTAAATGTTTATTGAAAGTTTTTCATTTTTTAAAAAAACTTTTGTTAAGTTTTTATTGACTCGAAACACTCTAAGATCTGTTTTAGGGTTTTTCTACTTAATAAATTATACATTTATAAGATTTCAAGAACAAATTCTAAAAAGAAATTTGATAAATTTATTAAATTATCTGCAATATATAATTAAAATTAATTTATTACTTTAATTTTAATCGTCGGTTTTTATTTATTGAATGTGTTGTACTTTAGATAAAAAACAATAATAAATTTATCGAAAAAAAAATTTGTTTTATAATCAAAATATCTGATATTTTTCAAATTAAACTTCATCAACCAAACTGTAGACTTATATTAATATGTCTTAATCAAAAATATAGTAAAGAGCGAGTGCGTAATCCTGTTTATAATTAAACTTTCTTGATACACCTTTCAATTTATTGATTTAAAAAGATGTGAAAAAATTAAAGTATTCCTATTCGAATAGGCTATAGCCTATTATTAAATTCTTCAAATGCAGATGCGTGATAAACGGTCGTATTTGCCTCGTCAGTAAATTAAGGTTACGTTTCTGATACCACACTTTCGTGCATTGTTTAATTTCTAATGGAATTTTGCTTATCCAAATGACGTTTAATGATCTTACTTCTGCTTAATAGAAGGATAAAATCGTCATATTTATAAATTTACTAATGATGATTGCCTCGGAATCAGAAAAATAGAGATCAATATCGAATCACTTTTGTCTCTATTTTCTTTTTAAGATATAGAAAAAAAATCTTCATTTAGTTTATAGACCAAATTACAAAAATAAATGATCGGACGGTCTATATCAGGTAATTTACTTGTTATAATTCAGACATGCAATTCTGTATTTTACTGGAGCTGATTAGCATACAGCCATAGGGATAGAAGGCCTCTCATCGAAGTGACAATCCGTTGGTTGGAGCCTGCAGCGGGAGGTGGGACATTGGTGGTTAATATGTGTGTTTGACTGTCCTTGGGGGCCTTGAGGACAAATTACATCTGTCTCCTGCGTGATGGACAGTTCTTTTTTTTTCTTCGACCTTAGTAAAGGTTCGGATCTGCAGCTGTCATTTTATTAGGTTCAATTGCTCATATTATCATAGTTTAATTAATGGTTCTGCAGTTATTAATATAATGTCATTTAAGAAGAAATTAGATTTAAATACATTTTTTCAACAAAGAATTTGTACGAAGTGTTCGAATGTAAACAGAACGATCATTAAACTAAACTGCACTAATCTGCACTAAAGTATAAACGGTAAACGAAGCCCCTAGTCTTAATAATTATCTATACAATAGGAGGGAGAGCCTAAATATCCCCTAGAGTTCTTCATTAGGAGAATACCATATAATGTTCTTGCAAGTATAAGTTTTTAAGAAAATTGTAACAAAGATGGCTTTTTTATGAAAATGCCAGCTATGACTGTACTATAAATAATTCATTCTCGTGTTTAAACATTCTCATATTAAAATATTAACAATGCCAGTAGCAAATAACATTAAAATAAGCCACCAGTTGGACTTCACCTCATTACAAAAGAACAATTTCTTTAGAAGGGGAAAGAAAAAGTAATTTTTAAGTGCTGTACAGTAATTTTTTTTATCTTTTTATAAATTACTGAAATATTTCTAGTAAGATTTCATTTGGAGTTGACTCTACTTACATCGAAATATTCCGAGAAATACCGAAATAAAA